GTGACATTGATTAATAAAATTTAAAGGGGCATCCGGAAATGCACCTATTTCTTACATGCTGTTCGTATATATATATATATATTTGTTACAAGCGTGATTTACGATTTTACTTATCCATTCCAAGTCTTCAATTTAATGCCCCCTACTCCCATTTGACATTAACTAATACAAATCAGCCTACTGTGTAAAAACACTACAAATTGACTATTAAGCCCAATTCGACATTGTTCTCTGCCTATACCGAGACGCAAACCATAAACTCTGTACCTGGCATATAAATTACAACCTTTTACTGGAATCTTAAACCGTTATTTAGCGTGTCTAGGGTTAATTTTTCGTACTGACATCATCCCTCGAAACTTGTGAACTTGACGGAGACCACTTGAATTGAAACAAAGTGCTATTCTTCTTGATGTTATAAAAAAACCACCTTAAAATAACAAATGTTTTCTCCATTACCTGTATTTACTACACAAATAATATGGATCAATATTAACTTGTAGTAGTGACAGAAAAACAACAGTGTTTCTATACATAATTATTTGGAGGACATATGTTATACAAAACCATTATTCAATATTTCCAATAATAATTATCATGAAAATAAAAAGGCCAATTAATCATTTTATATGATGAATTATATGTTTTTAAAATTGAAACCTTCTGCTTTAAAACAAAGATACCCTAATATATGTATTTGCAGACATATTTATAAATTAGTAATAACCAATCCTACGTTTAAATTTCAAAGCAAATCTAACGAGTAATAATATTATTTGTTTAAAATCGAGTAAATTAAAATAAAATGATATTTTGTAACTATAATATTCAGATATTATTCAACTATTTATTTATTAACATTAAAATGAATAATAAATTAAAGAAAGTTAAAACGTAAGTATTTTATTAATGGGTTAAAAAAACAAAAGTAGGAATAATACATAATAGGTATAATTTTATAAATGCGTACACAATTTGTTTTAAATTGCTGTGAAATACATCATCAATATAATATAAATCCTGCTTATTATGTGTGTGACAAATAAAAGTCAAATTATCTAGATTGACGACAATATTTCAATATAAAATAATTATTGACAAAATAATTGAAAATCGGGACAACAAAAAAGAACCGTATATCATATATCTGTTTTACACACGTTTGACGGAAAAAACTCATTCACTAGGTATAGGCAATCATAATGTATTAATGTTATTATTTAATAGTAAATATACTCAAATTATTTTTACGAAGTCTTGAATTTTTTTGTACTAATTAAGGCGTGTCCTATGACGATACAAGCATCTGTTTTTCAAATAAGAATTCCACCCAACCCCACCCACCACACCTTTTTTTTTTAGGTAAATTATTTAATGGATATTTTTTTGAAGGTGTTGATGCACCTAATACAAAGTTCGAATGGCTATAGATTTTTGTTTATTAAAATGTTTTTTTTTTTTACTACGGGTAGTATAGTTTTTCTTTTTACAACCTAAAGCTTACAAAAATATAAAACAAACGTAATATTTGAACTACTATTTATTATACTTGAGCTGATTTTACAAATAATTAATGTTGACAGATTAATATTAATGACTAAAATTTTCAAATCACCAAAGCTTTCATATCTTAATAAACCCATTACCATAGGTCCTTAGAACACAGAATATAAATAGCTCAAAAACTTCCTGTATGAATTTTGATTCTTATATGTCAAATATTTCAGAAAAATTATCCACCAAATAATTTACAGTTGAGAAAGTGCAGTTCTCATTTGAAAAATAGACGTTTGTATCTTAACAGTATACTCGTTAAGCAGTACAAAAATCTCAAAAATGAGAAAATATGGTCTTTAAGCAGGTATATTTAAGAATTCCAAAAATCAGAATTTAAATAACTGCATTATAGAGTTAAAAAGTGGTGTAAGCATGCTTGATATATTTTCCTGTATATTTTTATCGGACGTGCGCAACATTATTGAGGTTTTTTGCGTTGTGCAGCATTTAAAAGGCACGGGACAAAATGCATATATAATGTACACATAGTATAGTCGACAACTCATTGGTTTTAATATTATTATTATTGTTTGATCAAAAGACTGGTGTAGGTGAGCGCGAGGGTGGAATAAGTTTATAAATCTTTCACGTATTTAAGTCACCAGTCACTGCAGCTGTCGTCTATGTACAATATGTACATATATTGTGAAGTATGTACTCAGCAGCATTAGGATGAATGAAACAGGAGCTTTCACGGGCGCCCCAAATTTGCTGCACATAACGAACAATTATTATTATTATTATTGGTATACGAGACCGCCAACATTGCCGATATAAACGACAGTGCAATTTACAGAAACTATGGCCGTTATTATTAAATAACGCAGTGGCGTTCGAGTTCATAATATACAGTATGCTGTTAGTGAAACGAAATGGAAATGTATTTTAGATACAAGAAAACATGAAAGCAACGATGTCGGTGAATAGGTATTATGTGAACATGTGCGATTGACCCAAAGACGTTTCCTATGGACGTAAACTAAATGCCCGTCAAGGTAGTTGTTTTTTCATACGCTAACCAGAGATCTAGTGATCGGATTTCTTGTCAGATTTTGACTATGTTGTTTTTGGTATTTAAAGCTCATCACGCATTATTAATTTATTATTAAAACATTAATAACTTGATTTGTGTAAATTACATTTTTGATTTCAAACTCCGTGCTTCTATACCTCGTTTAAAAACATCTACTGTACTAATTATTGTGTGAAAAAATACTGAGTTGATTTAAATATAAAAAATGTCCTCGAAACCCGCAGTTGCTCCAACTGTTTGCGTTAATTAACTACAAAATATAATTTGTGATTCAGACATAATTTCATTTATCCGTGCATACCGCTTACCCTTCTCTTTCCGATAATTATCAACTATCTTTGAAGTCTAAACCGTCACGGTTTAGTTTGAACACCTAACTTGAATAACCTTTAATCTATTGCATTTAAATAATAATTTACGTTTTGTAATTACGTACCCGATATTCGTTTAATGTTCAATAATGATTTATTTTTATTAATTAATCAACAAAAATGTATGTACCTATATAAAAAATATATATTTTTTTTTACACAAGCAATTATCGAATCTGTATTAAAAGAAAAAAGATTTTCTATTTGCACCTACATACCAAAACTGCAGAATTTGCGCATGTATTATATTTATTTATTTTTTATGTATATTGAGTGGAGTGATTTCTTTAAGTAAATACTTTCAAATAGCATATATTATATTGGTAATGCGATAGTGTGCTATCATGATAGATCTATTATGCATATTGCACATGCATATCAAATTTATAAAGTGAGTACTTGACATTTTATTGGGTATAAAAGTCGTAATACTCAATAACATGTTATAAAAGTAAGCTACTGCTTTTTATAATATTGCCTGTGGGATTTTTAAATTAGTTAAAGGTTATTTAACTTATTTTAATATAAACAGAAATATTAAAAAAACAAAACAAAATATGTATACGAGAAGGTAGAATTCAAAGTAAATGACTGTTTATCGTAAGGAGCAGTTCTATCAAAAAATTTTAATTTTCTCTCCGTGAAAACACCAATATTTCAGCCAAGATGAACATTTCGAGATTAGTATAGCTAAGCTCGCGTTTTACCCATTATCAAAAAACATAAACCTTAAGGTAATATGTTTTTTATTATTTTTCTAAAATGGTCAAGAAGCAACAGATAGTAAGTCAAATATAACTTTAATTTATTTATGCTTCATCATGCTTATGAGAATTTTATCAAGCAACACAATTAATTTTATAGACCATTCATCTTTATAAAATGTTTTATCACATTTGGAATGTACGGACATTTCGAATTTTCCAAACAAATTAAATAGGCAATAATTATAGATTTTCAGTACAAATTATATAGGTACTATAAGAATATCATTTAAAAAGGCACTCAAAGTCTCAGACACAATTTATTTTGTATAAAGAGCACGTTAGTAATTTAATAACAACTATGATGACATATCTTGTCTCCATTTTCAACCCTAACTTACAATGTCGCATTCTAAGTAGCGAAACCGGAGGGGTTTAATGATTAAATTCGTTGGTGATATAACTGTATAAGAGTAAAAACGTTTAAGAACGTTTCGATGTTAATTTTGTGTGGCTATAAACCGTATACATAGTATTCTGCGTAGAATATTCAGTTTTTATTCTATACAAAGCGTAATAAAAAAAAATCATAAATAATGTCCAAGTTTTATGAAAAATGAAATAAGTACCTAGTTATATTTGTAGATTTTAACCTTTTAGGTTTTTTCCTATTACAGTTATGTTAAATTAGTCATTTAGGTGCAAATATTTCAGTTCCTGTTTAATGACACGCTTGAATAAGTTGCAAATTCGGATTATGTAACTGGAGACGGTGATATCATATTAGGACAATTTATTCGACTAGGCCGGACAACGATTAGCATTTTTAAAACAAAGGTTGACGGACGGAATTATTATCGTACCCGTTGTCCACGACGTCAACCACTGAATCGTAGAAACGAAACCGAGCCCAGTTGCGGTTCGTGAAATACTGAAATATTCCCGTCTGAATTGATAAATCTTCAGCAAGTGGTCAAAAGAGGTTAAGTAAGATTATTGGGAATTTTTTAGATTTTTATAAGATCTAAATATCGCGATATCTTCTTGGAAAAAAAATACATTTTAATGTATGGGAGAAATGTCAAATGACTGGTTTCGTTTTTACCGACGAAAAATATGAGCTACATCCGATGAATATGTGTACTGAAAAAACTGACTGGATTCATTGCGGCCGCGTGACGGATATTAAAACGGCGACGACGATGAAAAAGTCACCCCCCCCCCCCTCGACGATGACGACAACAACAACGACAATAACACGCATTATTATATAATTGACGGCGGCGGCGGCGGCGGCGGCGGGTGGGAATACACCCGCGGGGGGCCGACACTCACTTCGTGAGCTGTGCGACAACTCGGTGAGCAGCTCTTTGAACGAGTCCCTGCTGTCGGTGTCGTTGAAGCTCTTGTACACGGGCTTCAGTCCCAGGGCGAGGAACACGGCGGACAGGGTGAAATAGCACTTGGAGTTGCCCATCAGCGAGTTGAGACCGTGGTTGTAGTACAACAGACCGGCCACGTTCCAGCCGAACCCGTGCAGTATGTGCCGGAGGGCCTCGCCGACCAGCTTGTACGAGCCCATCATCCTGGTCAGCGTCGGGTACTCGTACCGGTTGTCGAAGTTCTCGGCCAGAGCGCCGGCCGTCAGCACCGGTATCTTCCACACGCCCGCGTACCGCGACACGGGCGCAATCACGTAGTCGCACACCGGTCCCAGGAACAGATCTGTAATCAAGAAACGCCGGTACCGTGGTTAGATATTTGGGTTAGGTGATGTACGTAAAGATATGTGCTATGCGGGTACCATGTATAACATAATAATATTATGATGTTATCGTATCGCAGTGTAAAGGTGTGCCTTTACACGACTGTATCGTGTCGTCCATAATTTAGGACGTGGTCTTAAAATTACAGTGTTTTGATTGGCTGAATATTGTGGTTACCTAATTAATATACCGTGTTACCAGGCGTTACCAGAAAGTTGAAAAAAATTCAACTTGTCATCTTGCAGTAACAGTCGTGGTTCAATCCTCCTGTTAATAATAAATAATTTTATAAACCTATCTATTAATATAATATAATTGTTATCAAAACCATGCCAACATGATACGCGGTTACATTCGTTAACCTAATATATACCGTTCTACCAAGAACGAAATTGGAAATGGACGACACGATAAGAGTTATGGACGACACGATACAGTGTAAAGGCACCTTTACCTATAATATGTAGTGTGTTGCAAACTAAGTATACTAGTATAAGGTCTATGGTTGCAATAAACGCGCGTGTAACCGACGCCAAGTATCCACATACCTATAATTATTATTATTTTTATCGCTATCATATCTAAAATAAATTATGATCTAGTGTCGGATTAGCGCTATTAGGGAGGCCGCACCGTAATCACAGTAAACTACTTCGATAGAACCACTGTCATGATGTGATAATGTAATCAGCACTCATATTATTAGCTAACCAGCTAAAATTAAACTTTTCTATTTAATTAATACATAAAATAATTTTAGTGCTTATTTATTAAATAAATTATCATAAAGAAAATTGATTACTATACTACTCGAACAAGGCTCCAAATTATATTATACATTTTGTGTTTTCATTGAATTTTGTACTTAATCTGGTTGGGATGACATAATATTTAATCGCGGTGGTATATTTAGCTCCGATTCAGGGAATGGGTTTTTTTCTTCAAAATTGATTTTCTTGCCAATGCGTGACATTGTCTATGAAACGAATCGATTTCTGTAACATTACGTCGGTTAAACGAAAAAAATTATACCCACAAAACAAAGTTATGCGTTTATAAGAAAGTAAGAAAGCGCGTAAATGTAATTTTGCTTTAGCTCGCCCACCTTTAAGTTTAGAAAAAGTGACTCAGTGCCTTTTAGTAGAACGCCCACTATACCCTATATATACATACTGTTATATTATGTTGTAATTGTATCGACCGCTCACGGTTTTTACAAGTCAACGTTGGTTTGGAGACATTTCAGTCATAATATTCGAACGATTGTGGATATATGTAATAATATGATGATCACTACTGATTATGCATCCAGAAAACAAATAAATAATATCATCAACAAAGCTAAACTCCACCAACAAATTTAGCAAACATTAACTAAGTAAATTAATGTACAAATTTAAATATACATACTTAATGCAATAACTTTTAATACCCAAAAATATAATGACTCCACATAACTGTTTTTAGTTAACATTCCATCTGCCTACGATAACAAACTTGTAGAAATTTTTAATATAACATCTCAATAATAAATTATTTATGTGATAATCTACTGAAATTAATAGGTACCTAGTATAAGTAACTGAAATGTCAAAAAAGTTTAAAATTAATTCGTACAACTGAGTCATCGGTGTTAAAAAAAGTTATTAAACAATCGGTTTGAGAGTATGGATAAATTGTTTAAAAAAACCATAATACTCTTATAACTTCTAAAAACAAAAATGTGTAGCATGATGATGTTGAAAAATAATAACATAAAAACAAATCAGAAACAAAACAAACGATCCAATCAATTAGATATTTAAACTTAGTTTTTAATTCACATAGTGAAAGTGAAAATGAAGCATTTATTATGGAACTTAATTTAACACTTTGTTTTGATGCGGTTACTTAACCGCCGTCATGTACACTCCAATGAAAAGCAGAAGGCACGTAACACCTAATTATTGTATGCCCTCCATTTTTGTATAATAATTTCAAAAATATACAATCAACTTTTAACTTAACCACAAACCACCTTACCTATTACCTATAACCAATGAAAATTACACAAGCAATTTGTACCAAGAAATTCGTAATAATAATGTTGCCACTTGATTAACAATCGTCTGTATTCAACGCTTACTACCAAACCAATGGTTTACATCAAACAAAGTAGGTATGGGTACTTTACAGTTTCGATAAGTATACTGTTCAGTTAAATACATACGTCTGTTTGTGTCTGTCAAATATATTAGTTTATTAACTAAGTTTGATTAATTTTATATTTAACGTATTTACCCATCGGTTATTAAATTATATTTTTAAAAATACTTAAATATCACTTTAATATTTAAATACTTAAATTAAGTATAAACCCAAACACTGAAATAGTAAACTTCAGAAACAAAACAAAAAAAAATATTATAATTTTCCAGCCTCTAGGTACACCAAATATGTGTTGCTTTTAAAGTAATTATGTTAATTGTAATCGAAAATAAAGTCAGGTTATACAGCTAAAGATCATGATACTCGATTCTTTCCTTTTCTAGGAAAATTGATGAATCATAAATAATTTGTTTTTATTGTTGATTTGCGTTTCTATGGCGATAAAAGTCGGTTAAGCGAAATTGGTTATGGTCAGAAAAAAAAGTTGTATCCAGTCCAAAAACATGTCTATGTTAAAATATAAAATGTGAAGAATAAATAATAAATATTCCAGTATAATAATATGTTCTCCTACTGTGAAAGTTTGTTAAATTCTTTTCAATATTAATATCATAGTAAAAAAAAAATCATTTAGTAAATTGTCTGCAGTAAAAATATTTTAATTAAAATTATTAAAAATGATATTACTCTATACAATGGTATAGAATAATATAATCTATATATTGTATAGAAACATCTATAAACATGCAATACGCAGGTAAACCTTATTAATAAACAAAAACTGCATAAATATAAATTATTTTCTGTGAAAAAAACAACAAACGGATTTGTAAATGATGCATTTTATACGTTTTGACTTAGGTATTGAAATAAACCAAGAAAAATATATTTAAATTAATCAACAAATGTTTCGTTTGTGAAAAGTCAATATGATGACATATAGTGCCTACTGAGTTGTTATATTATTATACTATACTAGTACATCTACTAAAAGAGTGCATTCAAAATTCACAATATTCAAATTCAATATATTTCGAAAAGTATATTGAACAATAATATTACATAGTGCAAGTTATAAAATTGATATTATAAGACATTCATATTTATAAGTATATATTGAATTATTCTATCAAATTCAGTTGACAGATAAATAAAACTTCAAACGTTCACTACAAGTAAATATTATTTTCTGTATAACTTCCCTGCAATCATAAGTAGTAGCTACTGACATTAACTGTCATATTTTATGTCAACCTCATGTAATAAGTTTATGTTACAGAAAAAATATTGATAGATATTGTTTGAATCCATGTTTTACAAACTAAATGAATGAAGTATGCGATCAAAATTATTCTGAAGAAACAATAAAAATATATAGAATAGATGTTGTAAAGCTAAAAAAATATTGTATTTTACCTAGGCATAGTCATTCTTTGGATAGATTCTAGCTCTATAGGCTTATAATGTCTTGAATACATTTCAACAGACATCTTATTTCTAGGTACCTATTCTGTGATATGTAGAGTCATCCGGTGTATTTTTAGTAAAACATTGCTCAAACATTCAAGATGTTCTATATATCCTGACGTTATAGTTGCAGCACTAAAAACGTCCTTACACATTGCTCTAATTAAAAAAATAATAATTAAAATACCTAAATGTTCACATAATAAACTTAACTTATGTTTGATGTTATGATACATACATACTGTTCATTTATGAATCAATTTTAATAAATTTCTTCAGAATAAAATAACTATAATTTAAAATAATTATAAATCAAAATCAAAGAAAATCAATCGAAATTTCACCAAATTTCAGTTTCTACAACGATAATTTCAATTCGACTCATAATTCAACTGCTCTGACAAGACAAACAAGTTTTTGGTGTGAAGTTAGTGTACATATTTCTACCCTAAGTGAACACAAAAGTTCACAAAGTTTTTGGTATAATCGTAAATGTAATTATTGTTTTAATAATTTACAGAAAATGTAAATGAAAGAGTTCTGTAGGTAGTGCAAATCGAAATTGCATTCCCTTTTCTAAGGCGTAGAACAACGATCGTTTCATCATTACCATCTTAAGTTTACGGAAAATTAATTAAAATATTTATGCACACTGACTGACAGTTATTATAAAGAGTGGATATTTCTTTGTCTATAATTACTAATAACAACTTTGGAAATATATTATACCAATTCATTTTATCAAATGCATTGTCTTAATTAACTATGAAGACAATGCAACTCAGGATTAAGGACTTAAATACCCAATGGTTTTATATATATTTGCAGGACGCCAGGACTAAACCATGGTTGTAGTCACTAAATAACAGTAGATAGTAAATCTATTAGATTTTATTCCTAGGGAAAAAATAATCCATATAAATTATACATAGATTTTTTTAAATTTGGTCTACTAAGATTTTGTATTTAATCTATACAAATTTACTCTCAAAAATCATATTAAAGTTTAAACAAAACATTAGTTAGAAATTTCCAAATGTCATGTTTTGAGTAGTCAAACAACTAACATCTAACAATAATTGGTTTTAATTATTCTTAAATTACTTTAACACCTGTTTATTTACGAACATTGTACTAGGTATTATTAATAAGCTAGCGTTAATTAAATTAAAAGATGGTAAGATACCTCATTTGAATAGGGTATAAAACTTTTGATATACACATGTTGTGCAAAACAAGACATAAGAGGATTATGTAAAGTGGTTCCTCCATGTACTTATATAGTGCTAATGTCTTCAACTCGATAAAAAATATTTAACCAGTCTTATAATTAATTAGATATCA